CTGAGCGAACGAAGTTTACTCCAAAGTAATCAAAGTCATGTCAAAAATGAACGCAGCACTCGTATTTGTCTAATCTGGGCGATAATATCAGCATCTAATGAGCTAAGTAAAGTATTGAATACTTTGCGAATTCTGAAAGGTATTTGGAATTGTCAACCATAAGGAAATTTTTCAAATAACATGCATTTGAGGGAACGAAGTTTACTCCAAAGTAATGATGTCAAAAATGAACGCAACACTATTATTTTTGTCTAATTGAGGTGATAATTTTAACATCTAATCAACTAAGTAAAGAATTGAATAAATTCTTAATTCAGAAAGGTATTTGGAATTGTCAACTATTAGGAAATTGTTCAGAAAACATGCATTTCTGCTATTAAATCACTTGATTTGTACATCGTCACATTTGCAATTTAATCACCTACACTGATAGTAAACATCAAAGTTCTACATTTCTTTTTTTATAATGGCCAAGAAAATAAGTCAAACGTAGTTATTTCAGTGAAAAATAACAAACAATAAAAAAGACAGAAATACAAAAGTTGTTCGATAATGTTTATCACGACGGAATACTGGACATCGTAAAAGCTCTGTTACGATATTTTTTGATATAATCTCAATTTATTTGGTAACTGAGTGAGGACGTTTCTTTACTGCTGCCAGCACTAGTAAACAATATTTGGTTGCCTTGAAATGCTTAACTTTCAAATGATTTTTACTGGTTTATTTAGCAGAAGGAATATTCTAAGAAAGCATACATTCAACTTGTATGCAGGTCTATCCGCATTTCATTTGCTTTCGGCTGAAATGTTTTTCTTTAGTCTAAAGTTTCCATGGCAATGAAGCGGTTCAATTAGCGCTGCTTTTTCAGCACGCTTTGGGGCGGCACCAATTAAACAAATTTACAAAGTTATAATTTCACGGTGTGAATTTTGAAGGACTTAAGATGATTTACATCATTTCCACTTGAAAGGGATGTCTTAGTTTAGTGTTAACTGTGAATAATGAATCTAACTTTTGATTTGAAGATATGATGTGGATTTTTGAATGATAATAATAAAAAGATAAGATATTTGATTTGTCGCCCAGTGTCTTCCGTGTTGGCAGATAGTGCTATCGTCATTTTCCTTGAATTTTCAACGCGCTTTGGTCACCGAAGACAAATTTGTACCTTCCCATTATGGGTAGCTGCCCTTCTCGTTTTAAACGTGATGCAAACTCATCGAAGCAATTTCGGGACGACAACTCGAGACTTGACGGAAGAGCACGAAAAAGTCGGGAAGCCAATTTTCAAACCACACAACTCACAAATGTTTGCATCGAGGACAACACGCTTCGAGATCTAACCTCAAAATTGGAGAAAGCGCTTTGCTGGACGAGTAAACACGACGTGTGTTGGAGTGTCGAGTTTTCGGAGTCAGTAAATGAATTATTTGTTGACGCATGTCGATGCATGAGCGATCTTGCCGAAAGTGAAGACTACGGGAAAGCTGATGAAATCGTAAAAATGATTCTGCGGTTGAGAACTGCTTGGGGAAACGAAGCATTTGAATATCTCAACATAAAGTCTTTTCCTCGCGAAAGAATCGAGACGAAAAATGCTGTCATTCTCGCTGGGCAGTACTTTACGCCAGAGCGATTTTATGAGGATGATGATCGGCTGTTTAGACTATATTACTTCGAAGTAAGGGAAGCAGAAACTAATGAATTCATGTTTACGTATTACTTAGAATGTAGTAATATCTTGCAGAAATTTCATGTCCTCTGCTTGTCGTGTTCTGGTGGACATTTGCAAATAACGAAATACGGTAAAAATTGCCCGTGTTATTGGTCTGTTCGAGAGGACATGCTGAGGGATTTTCAATATAAAGAAGATAGCGCTCTCGTCTCGCATAGTGCGGTACTTAAAAACTGAACGAGAGTTAATAGTATGTTAAAGATTATCCAGCGTTACATAGAACAGGTACTATTTGTGATAAAGCAATGAAGAGAGTTTTGACAAAATATTTCAGGATTTTTGAACCTTAAGAAATTAAGTTAAAATTTTTTAATTCGTCTTTGGAATTCCACATTATCATTGTTACCTTTTCGTATGTTCGGGCATATCTGGTGTTTTTTTGCCGGACAACAATAATTTAAAGGTGTTTTTATTTAGTAGAGAGGTATTTTTCTATGCAGATAAAAAACATGGTTCAGTTTCCTTAGTTATTGAATCGCGGGCCGACTCCGATGGAAAGAAACGGCGTCAGTAATAGCTGAATTCCAGGAAAATTTTGACTGATTTGGTGTAAGACGCTTTTAAATCTATCGCTTGCGTTCTATCTGTATAGGTTATATTTTTTGTGTTGCATGTTAGTCTTCATATCACAAATAATTTCGTAGAAGTCCTCATATTTACCTATCTATTTAAATGTTTAATTTCATTTTTTCACGTCGCTTTTTACGAATTTGAATCAAAGTTGTATCTGGTCGTCGCTGTCATTACCGCGGACGGTAATCCTCTCACGAACTCACCTCCAGTATTTGTGCTACGAAACGAATCTTACAAATATTACAAAAACAAAGAACTCGTTGGGAATAAATGGGTAAAACAGTTTTCATATTTACAGCCTTCCAAACCAAAACAACCGTGTGCATTCAAATTTGTGTATATTGCAAAATGTAAATGTATTCTCTACTTCGTATGAAATAATTATATGTAGTCTTCGTTCATTAGATTTAGGTCAACATCGAACTGTTCTGAGTAGAACCTGGAGCCTAAACGGACCTTTTAGGACAGATTTACGGGCCTCTGTCTGAGCCAAAGTGCTTTTGTTGTCATGAAAGAACTTGATAATTCACTCGACAAGCAGAGTTCCTTTCGCGCGAGGGGTAAATGCCGAAGTCGCCCTAAAACGTATTTCTTTACATGTGGCAAGCAGTGCAAGTACAAGTATGGAATCTTTAGTGGTTGAAACGAAAAAAACTTTCATTTATTACGGCAGCTTGAAATTTTTTATGCGATCATAGAAAAGTCTTCATCGGAAATGTAGATGAACAGATACACCGCATTAAATGACATGATACAGTATACAGTGATATTGACATTCATAGGGGATGATTAGAAATGATTTTTAGCCTAGCAGAATACATCATTTTAAGAAGATGACAAAAAAGGTAAATACAAGGGTTAGTTCTTGTCGTTCTGCGGCGCAACAAATCGCCCATTTTGGTTTCACATCCTGGGAAGGCGGGCAAAGGCCTTAAAATCCCTCAATTTCGCTACTATATCCAAGACGACACATGGACTAAATTGTTGCATTTAAGCCAAAAGAAAAGGCGTCATTTGTGTGAGTGTGTTTGAGAGTCTCACCTCCGGCACTCAGCTCTCTCCTGCCAACGCTCGCCTAGACAAAAGAAAAAAACGCATACAAAGCTTGAAAAGCATTGACGCTTGCCCTGTGCAGGGTAGCGGCACCTTGACCTTAAAGAACAAAACATTTGTCAGTAACGCACGTGCACACCACGCAGCGGCAACGCCGCCTTGTTCGAGACCTTGGATCTTGAAAGATTTCCAGTCAAAGACGCTTTATAGTAAAAACGTAAGCCCTGTCACTACAATTTTGCGTAACAAGACCCTTGTTTGACGGCGCCAAGGTAAAGAGTACCTCCAACCGAGAAGAAAGGGGGCAGTTTTCACAAATTTGCCCTGAGAACGAAACACCATTATTTACACGGCCAGAGCTTCTATTAAGATTTCGCACAAAGAAATCTTAATGCGTGATTCATTCTGTTCCTTTTATTACCTCTCTGCCTGTTTAACCAGTATGTGAGAAGAAGAAGTCCATGGTATATTGCAGTCAACTCTTGGTGAACTTTGATCAAATCACCTTTGCTAATAATGTAACACCACAGTTCCGCTTAATTCGTCACTCACGCACTTTTAACTTTTCACAAAATAGCCTTTTCCTAAAAATAACCACACGAATTGTGTCTTTGTATCACAACACCGTTATCACACACAATAAAATAATAAGCTAAAAATGAAATACGAAATCATGACGCCTTTTTACCATAGCGCAAGGTCTATTTGACTGTTCCCTGCCTCAAAACAATGTTGATTAATAGGGCCATGTTTTCGTTCAGCTGTTTCGTCACACCTTCGTGAGTCTTTCGCGCTCTGCGATTTGCGCAGCTTCCAACGAAAGTCTCTATATTGGAAGATACAAAATTCACTAAAACAAGCTATTTTGAACTTTTTCGTCAGAAACGCCATTTACAAGAAGTATCTCGAACTGCATTAGATGCGAATTGGTTTAAGGTGAGAAATGAACTTTGGCAGTCAGTCTTCCTTGCTATTGATGCAATAATGAGGCCGAAAATGATTACATTTGAGGCAAATGAGAGATATTTTTGGAGCTTATCATCTTATCTTGCACAGTCTGTATGTGTCTATTTTCTCACCGAAACAAAATTACATTTGAAAATTGAATTTGCGTAGTTTAATCTGTTTAAATTATTGTAATCCGGCGGAGTTCTGACAATAGCTTGATCACATAATTTAAAAGCACTCAGTACCTTTTTTAAAATATTTTCTTCCTTGCCTAAGAGTAAGATTCTATTTTTACACAAACAATAAAACCAGGAATAGAAAACAACCCCTGAAGTCTAAGAATGTCAAGAGACGGGGGTCATCAAACAGTTACCCGCTAAATTTCAAAGTTTCTTTCCCCTTTTTCAACCAAAACACGCAGATTGTAATTTTGTTACAAATTGGAGTTCTGCCGGAACTATTTTTCATGCTCGAAAAGATTGGAAATTTAGCAACACTTGAAGACAGAACGGAACGCTTTTGTAAGAACAATTTCAGGCACAATATCCCACATACCAAACTGTGTTCGTGACCTATGTAGATATTTTCATGCGGATCTGCCCTGTTTCCGGGCGGATGCCATTGACTGACCTCATTGTACCTTGGACTGTCGCGTAAACAAACTTAACTTTCAAGCATTAAAAACGTGACGAGTGCACGAAAAAATTATTTAAGCCGTCAACACACATAATTTCATGCGTGTATCTCTACACGTTCCCATGAAGCTACGAGCTGAAGACAACGACAGTCAAATTTAAAAGCAAAACCGAGCAGAAGCAGGAATTGTGAATGAGCTTCGGTCGTTTAATTTTTTGCTGCAACAAGGAAACGTTCGGTTTGACATGGGTCACTGTTGGTCGTGCATGTGTAGAGAAAAGAAAGCTCTCTTTCGTCGAGGAGGATGCCTAGAAGATTGGGTTTTCGTAGATTCCGATTTTGAAGACGACGAAGAAACATTTTACCGAGATGAAGCCCTCGACGAAATTCTGTCAGCATTCGAGGAAGCTCTTTCTTGGCCGAAAGAACAAAACGACTTCCCCAATTCGACGGCCATTGATGCTATGAACGATATGTTTTGCATGGCTTCTTCAGAAATGTCTCGCTTGGCTTCGGGTGATAAATTTACCGAGGCCGATGAAATAGCCGATGCTATCGTAGAACTCTACGACGTTTGGGGAGAGAGTGTCTTTAGCTCTCTGAACGTAACTTTTTTTACGAGAGAAGAGATTTCGCTCAACCGGTTTACCATTAAAGTTGGACAATACTTGAAACCAGAACCGTTGCAGGAGCGAGAAAATGACATAGCGGTCAAGCTGTATTTCTTCATTGTTTACGATATGGACCTGGAGAAATATGTTTGCACGTACCACTTGGAATACAGAGATTTTAGTGGCATGACTGCTGGAATTTATTTTCTGAGGCTTAAATGTCGCAGAGGAAGGTTCCAGGTTGCATCTTATGGCGAGAGTTGTCCAGTATACTGGAAGATTCGACAAGATGTTTTGAAAGACTTCTCCAAGAGAAAACGGACTTTTATTTCATGTTAATATAGTTTTGAACCCTCCAAGGATTTGAGATCGAGAATATGCACTGTCATTCACTAGCTGTAGATAGAAGTCTCTTTAAAATCACAGGAAATTTGTGATATTTGGAAAATTTCTACTCTTCCGTGTCTCCTATTTCGAGTAGTAAAATCTTCAGTGATCGGTAGTCATATTTTATCCAATTCACAATGAGGAAGTTTTGTAAATAGTGTACGATCTACAAGGAGTGGAAATATATTTGTTTGTCAGTCTTTGTTTTCGGTGTGTTTGGTAAAGAATGGCAAGCGGAAAACTGAAAACTATGTATTACGGTTCTCATCGCCGCTGTTTCATACCAACTGATCACTATAAACTATGAATAAAACAAACATGACGAAGTTAAGAGTTGACCCATTAGTCCAGAAAGCGAAATCGGAGCTGCTGTTTTGCGAAAAATAAACCTCCGAAATGTGTAAAAGATCTAAAATGCTGCCACAGTCTTTTGCTGATTTTTTCAGCCGAACAAGTAAGTCTAGACATTTTCGAAAGGTCCAATTTTTGGTTCAAGTTTGAGCCTTCTACGCCCGCCGCCGGCTGAGATTGACCCGATCCAACTTTCTATTAACTCCGCAATACCTGAGGCGTCCATTATCCCTGCTGCGATTTCAGTCACGATGACAAAAGTTGTGGGGTTTGGTGACAGTCTGGGACAATTTTATTTACTTTATAAAGCCCTCATTAGTGACCCCGCAGGACGCGCTGTTCTCCGCTCGCGGGAATAGAGTAGTTAGAACGAGTCGGGGTGAGGTCTACCGGGGGTCTGGCACTAACAATCTGAGCTGGACCCCTTACAGACCAATAGATCGCCGACTCGACTCGCGCTGGTCAAGGCTTCGTATTTTCCTGCGGGCGAAACGCACGCGCCGAAGCGATAATGAACAGGACCTACTCGCAGGATATTGTATTTTGTGGAGGAACCGTTGCGTTATGATGCTTTAACAAACACCTTATTGAAAAATAAGGTGTTTATTAAAGCATTAGAGCTCAGTTCAGTGTGTGCTGCAAGGTGTTGTATGTTTGAAACGGAGTGTGTATGGCGACATCTCAATGGGGCATCAATGATTGACAAAAGGACTTGGCAACCTGAGGATTATAACAACGTTCCCTGGAAAAGTCTGTCGGTCTCAAAATTTCTCTGTCAAATTCGAATCCCCCACTTCTCTGTAAAACGTGAAGAGAAAAAACTTGACATGTCAGTAAGGTTGGGAAGGGCGTAAGGACCTGCGAAGCGTGCAGGACTTTTGTTACTCAATCTAGGTTAGGATTTCAGGCTGTATCTTGGATAATTTAGCCTGAAGTTTTTTTTAAATTCGTCAATCGTAATCAGTTCAGTTCAATCTTTCCCATTCTTGGCCACCTCTGTTCCCTCTCGCTTAGTTGTTACTTCAGTGATTCTTTCGGTTTTTGCAAACCTTTGAAACTGTATAAAAGCAATAAAACTGTAAAATCGTTTTTCAAATTCTCATTCGTTTATTAAAATTGAAACTCTTTTGGTTAAAATCTGACCAAAAAATCTACATATCTATCTACAAAGCTATACAAGTCTTTTTCCCGCCCTATATACAACTTATCATTTTGTTTAAGAAACTGAGTCATCCTCTATGTTGGAACTCTATTTAGTGAGATACGAAAACGGAAAATCACAACGATTTTCACTATATTCTCTTATTGTCCACGCGATTGCTTGCTTGAAGCGCTCAAATATATCTGCGGTTTTTCTTTGCTGACTTTCTGATTGGATCTCTGTGAACTCCGCGCTGTAAAAAGACTCGACTCATGAAAAGAATGAACGAAATCGTTTTCCGTCACTCGGGAGTTACGGCGCTTGCACAAAGTAATGAATTTTCTACGATTTCTCATTTGTGGACATGGTTTACTTTGAGATTTGCCTCAAAGTACTTTTTGATAACTTATGTAAACGATTCTACTTAAGTTGAAAAAGAAAAAAAATTGCCTTTCAGGCTGAGTATAAATTATCAACCAACCAACTGCTCAAAGCGACCTGGCTAGAGAAGGAAAACAAACCGACCATAAACATCCCAGATTTCCTTCGACAATGGGGCTAATTTGGTGATAAACACCAAACGAGAGAGTGAATGCCGGAATGAATGAACGTAAAAAGTGTAAAAACAAATAAAGCAAAATTACAAAAATAAAAAATAATCCGATATTTTTTTTTTCGTAAGCTAGCTCAACATGTTTGGAAAACGAGAGAGTAAAACTCTTAAAAATTGGAATAACATCCAGTTTGAGGTACAACGTAAGTACGCGGTAATACGATAAAAACTAAGATTGACGGCACATGATAAAAATAATAAAAATGACTCCTTAGAAACAGGGTAAAACGAAGGGCCTTGACAAGGAACTGTAAAAATTTTGTGAAATACTGGCAACGGAAGGCTCATCTGTATAAAAAAGAAAAAAAATCATGACCTAAGAACCAACTGAAGCGAACAAAATCATAAAGCACTGAAACAAGGCAAATTGACATATATATAAGTGCTAAAACATGAGTAAAAGTAGAAAATACATATTTTACCTTTCAAGTTGTACCCAATCTTGAATCAAATCATACCAAAGAATCTATCAAAAAAGCAAAAACGAAATGAAGCATGTGATGCTTACCTAAGAGTTATGCTTTACTTTGAGATCTTCAGGGCGCAGTTGTCTCTCTCCTTCACTGAGTAATATTTTAAGAGCCCTCTGAAGAAGAAAAACCCCCATTTCTCTCTTTTTCTTTTGAGGCCAAGATGCTGCCCTTCCGTAATAATCACCTCTTTTCTTGTTTGTTAGTCGTGGAAGGCCTGAAATAAACAAAAACAATAACAACAAAAGAAACATAAATTGAAAAGCTTGAGTACGAGTCTCACCGGGGATTGTGTGTTCCTTTTTTATGCATCGAAAAAAAATTGGGGATGAAAGGACACTAAGACACTAAGGGCGGATTGTTTTTGGTCTGAGTAGGTCATGGACTCAAATCCAAAATCGCCGGCTGGCGCAGTCTTAGTAGTCCAGGATAACATTTGGCACTCGATTTAACCATGGTTGAAAATACAATGAAATGATAAATATTCAGAGGGATTATTTCAAAATTCGATTAGGATTAATTGACCATTTTAACCGATACTGGGTTATGTAATTTGGATGTGTTCAAAAGACAAGTGACGTTTTCAACCTTTGAATGCCTTTTTCTCAGCTGTCAGTTGCTTTAACAGAGTGTTCGAATCTTTCATTTAGAGCAGTGGCTTGTCATATTGGTTTCAAGATCTTCAGCCTGCTACTCAGTGGAATTAATTCCGCCTGGAACAAGTTTAGTCTTCCTCGTGGCCTTTGTGTGATCTTGTCACGCAGCGCGTTCAACACAATAATTATTTAAACTGTAAATAAAAGCAACTGACATACAAGTGACTATCAAACACTGGGAACATAATTACCTAGTGCATCTATCATGCACGCTTCCCTCGTGTATGCCTCCACCGGAATGACACTCTGAAAGATATGGAGCGACACAACACCAAGCCCAGCTGCCCAAATATCACGGATTTGTTGAATCTTGGGATTTTGCTGTTAGGGCAGAAAAGACATAGAGCAATTTCACTAGAGTTTATAAAACAGTCTGGGATTGCATTTATTTTGGTACACGTTAATTGGTTTAGAAAACTTGCGCTACCCTCTTAACCAAAGAGTTGCAATGAGTTGACTACTAGCGTTTTCTGTCCTTGAAGCCCCACAAAGTATGTCGGGTTTGAGTTCTCGCTGGATCCATAAGATAATTACCTTGGATGTGATTGGCTGTTGCTCTTCGCGGGTTCAATAGCACTTCAAACCATTGTTCAATAGCGCTGCAAATCCCAGAGAACTCCTGCGAAGGTGCCAGTAACTTACGGCTAAAAATTGCCGATACAATGTGTCAAGAAGAGATGAAGTTTTTTCCAACGTGTATTAAGGAAAACGATTCTTCTTTTGATTTATTTGTAACTGCATCGCTGGTTCTGTTACTCAAAACAAAGATGTTATCATTAAAGCTTTGTATCTAATATTGCAATATGCATGGCATCTCTATGTACCTTTGCAGAGTTCATGGCTTCATTAAGATGTGCGTAGGGTCTTGATCGCTTTCCTTTTCCCACGTAGAATATCGCCAAGATAAACACTCGGAAGACATCCTCAGGGCTCATACTTTTGGATCTCGTTGGTAGATTTTGAGTGACACGCGGATCAATAAGAAGATAATTAAATGAAGATTTTTCAGTCCTATAGAAAGTAAATGTAAGCTATGTGATACTTTAAAGAAATTTGCTAACTGATCTATCAGAGGACATACCTGTACATGACCTCATCCAATTCATTAGCTATTTTTTTTTTTCGTCATGCATAAAACAATTCAGTTTTAGGCTGCTGAGCGTCTTCTCGTTAGAAGATTACAGTGGTGTACAAAATGTGTTTGGAACAAAAATTTATTAGAGCTCGCCTGTTGTTGTTTCTACAATAACAACAACATCAACGATGTTCATATTTATTGTAGATAAGTTCGGACCAAATTTTGACATCATCTGTGATCTTATATGAAAAAGAAAAAAAGAAAAAAAAAACAGACACGAAACAAAACAGAATTTATTTGTAAAAAAATTGCACTTAGTCCATACAAGAAAGTTAGATAGTGTTCCCGATTACATCTCTTGAAATCATTGATTACACGAACGACTCACCCCTCCCTCCAATTCTTTTTACAGGTGAATTCTATGCACATAGACTCCTCCTCCTCAAACAAATCTGGCGTTTCTGCTTTCCCCTCCAAATGTCTCCTTAGCTCTGGTAGATACTCACTATAGAGTGATTCCTAAGTAAAAAATAATTGTATTTAGGATACAGTTAACAAATTAATGCATACTATGGGAAAATCTAGTTCCCAGTGTCTCTCTTCTTCTTACTACCCTTGAACCAGAGAGTTGGGCAAGGGAAAAGGGGGATTCGCAGCAAGGTAGGTCCACTCATAAGCTAGGTGATCTAGCACTTTGAACCATTTTCCATCAAATGATGTAAAATTAATAGAATCTGAAAGGCCAATCATAACTTGGGAGAATATCACCACAGGCTGATGATAGAACTCGAGGAAAAAACTAGCCAACTGCTTGAGGCACAGGACAAATTTGGTGGCCAAGTCACCATAAATTTTAGTTTAGTGAATGGTTGAGAAGGGAGCATGAATGTTCTTGACAATCACAGAGTGAATAAACTTAAGCCAATGTAAACCTGAACTAATTTAAACTCTCAATTGAGAATTCTCAGTGGTTGGCAAACCCACCAGATTTGTTTGTCAGAATTTTTTTAGGCTTTCCAAACCTAAATGACTTTGCTCATCATTTCCTTTGAGATTAAGAACACAACAAACAACAAATTATATTTGCAGAATGTTTTTGTGTTTCAAATAATACGCAAACAAAGGGTAAAAAACTTAACTAAAGCGCTATATGTAAACAGTTTGTGGTTTTCAGGTTTGGTTGCATTTCCTGAACTTTATTGCAATTGGTCTGTATAAAAATTTACCTGTCACAATCAAATTGAACTTACCAGTAAAACAACAGAAGTGGTCACATTTTTCTAAATTTTGCAGAAGTGCAGTAGCAACCATTTGTATTGAACTAAATGAAAAACAGAAACTGCAAACTCCTTAGTTCAGAGCACAAAAAGAAATTTTGTGCATGGGAAGGGAGAAATCTTAACACAAGACAGTTACTTTCAACTCAGTTTTATTGTTGATGGCTCTCATGATAAGCCATTGTGACTTAACTTCAACACCAATACTTGATATATGTACCCACACCCTGGCAGTTCCAAGTTAATATTCCCTGCTTTGCTGTGTTAGTTTTTACCTTTGAATCCATTGAGCCACTCTGTAGCCGAGCTAACCGTTTTATATACACATTTCTAGTGCTTGTCATGATTGGACCAGGTATTTCTCCATACTTTTGTAGTTCCATCCTGAGATCATTATTAGAAAGTTTGAAAAGATTCTCTGGCACAGTTATGGATTCATTGATGATAGACTGGTCCAATATTGTGCTGCACTCCTTCCAGTCATAGAATATGGTGCTATTGCCAAAATAAAACTCTGCAGGGTCTTCATTATCTGAATATAAGAGACAAGAGGTTAGTAAGTGAAAAAGGGGAATAGAAAATATGTCTGAGAAGTAACCCTTTAACTCCCATGAGTGACTAAGACAGAATTTCTCCATACAATATCAATACAATATCGAGTAGACAAGTGATGAGAATAAAGAAAAATATCAATTAGGAGATTATTAACTGATCCATCACTAAATTCTCTGTCCAGACTAATATCATAAGAACTGTATAGCAGACAGTAGGGAGTATTATTAATGAGATCTTGAGAGTGAAAGGGTGAGGGCACCATAATTGAAACAAATCTTTCACTGTGCAGGGAAATATCAGCAGGTGTATACCAGCACTTTGAAAAGAATGTATCAAATATCCTTTTTTTTGCCATGTTGTGGAATAATTACCTCTTCAAACCCTCCCAGGAGATTTGGGTTCAAAACAAATGTGACCTTTGATGGTTTTAAGACAATTATTGTGAACTAGATTGAGTTATGGTCAGAGAGGAGAGGGTAGTGGACATTGTCATAGTCTTTTGCAAAAGTTAGAAGAAGTTAACTAAGTTGGCCTCATTGTTCATGCAAATTTTTTTCAGCTGATGTCTTTTAACTTGTACCATAAATTGAAATATGGGAAAAAAGAACTGTAATCTTTTGATATCCAAACAAAACACAATCAATTCTTAACTTATAATATGTACCAACCATGCTCTTGATAACTTGTATGTTCCAGCCACTGCTTTGCACCTTCTTCTACAGTTTCATCACCATCTACAAGACTTAAAAGACCATGTTCAAAGGAATTAGTATAGGTGATAACATGATTTCGAGTGTAATTTGGTGTCAGTAGTAAGCATAACTAAATTTTTCAAAGACAACAAAATTAGAAGAGCCTGTAGGGCTAGTGCCATATAAAGTCCTTCAAAAGTTTATAAGTGCTTATGGTATTACACCAAATCGCAAGAGAAATCATGTTCTTACTTGTCAATAATGTACATGAAAAAACATCACAGAAAGTCAAGAGAGATGAAATTTTGAAAGCGAGTGTGCACCATTTGTAATTTACATTGTATTACAACTTTACACTTGTGTTACATGAGAATGCACTCATTTTCAGCCTATCAGAAGTGTGTAATTTTTTCATGTACATTGTTAATGGAGAAATAAAATCAAGTGATGTCTATTAAGGGTACTCTCTCAAAATATTGTTGTAAGTTAGACTACTTACAGCCCCATTAAATGTTGAAAAATAATTTTCAAAAACCCTGGACAGAACACCATCCTGGTAATGTGGGAAGGAGCTCATGATTGTAGTTAGAAACCAGGGCATCACTCTTTCTGGCTGCTACTATCAGTTATAGGCTTGACTCAAGAGAGAGTTCTATGTAAAAACTATATGTCAGAGAAATAATTAGTATAGGTAATCACATGAGACCAAGTACTATTAAGGATTAATTGCACGAGAGTTTTCAAAATTTTTTCCAAAATTTTGAAAACTCAAGTGCAATTAATCCTTAATAGTACGAGGTCTCATGGGATTACTTGTTTATCAATAAAGGGCAAAAACGAACGGTTGCTATGCAATGGATTAGCCAATCATTAACAGGTAATCATGCCCTCTCTTGATTACTAAAAATGCCCTCGATTAAGAAAAAAATGCCCTCTCTCTCAACCAATCAGCGCTCAGTAATTTTGCCCTTTATTGATAAAAAAAAAAAAATAGTATGCTCTGTGTAAAGCTATGATCATTTTAGGTTAGGGTCATAATAGCCTTTAACCCTTTAACCCCTGAGAATGACCAGCTTCTAATTTCTCCTCACAATATCACCCATGAATCAAACATTAAGGTTGCGAAAATCAAGGAAATGATCACCACCTCATGAAGCTCTTGATTTTTACCCAAATTCTCCTTGTAAGCCTTTCAGGAAATGTGTAGAGAACAGTATGGAGAATATGCATACTGATATTAGGGTGTAAAGGGTTAAAAAGTGAAAAATGGCTGAAGGTACATGTGCATGTAAACACCAAAAGTGAATATAACATATATTATACAATTTATACCTGTTACTGGAGATACTTAGTTCAGTAATCTTATCGACCACCGTTTCATCCAAGTCACCTGAAGAAACATCGGCACTAAACCAAGGATGCAAGTTTGGAAATGTAACCACTGTCTGATCAAGCAAACTGTCTTCTGCAATTGCTGTGTAAAATGACTCACTGAATCCACAACTGACTTCACCAACTGGCTGTTCATGTTTCATTCCATCCCATTTTTCTTCAGGAATACAGGTTTTAGATTCGTCCAAGCTTATGTTTGACTCTACTTCTAATATAAATTTGATACACTGTTTTGCACTGGTCCCTTCGGACAAGGAGGCAAAATCCAGAACATTTTGTCCTTCATCATCTGTTTGATTGAGATCACCTCCATGGTTTATCAATAACTTTAAATTATCCAGCCTTCCCCAGAGAGCAGCAACATGAACAGGTGACATTCCCTCACTAGATCTGACGTTAGGATCTGCAGTCCTCAAACAAACCTCCAAAACCTCTGAAGCTTCCTGATCCTCGTGCCCAGCCAGCAGATGGAGAGCAGTAATACCATCCTCTAATTGATCAGCTCTCGCTCCATTCAAACCGAGCTCCTTAGCAAGACTGCAAACGACAAATGGATGAAAAAGGACCTTACGACTTGTTTGGTACATGTCAATGATACCTTTTTAACAAACCGCGCATTTCGATTGACCAAAAACAATCAGAACAAGAAAAATACCGATGAAAATTCAGAGTTAAAACATGTGTATTGCTTGAAACACAAGAGGTTGCCAAGTTTATTTTTCCCGTGTAATTTGTTTCAATCGTTTATCTGATCGGATGAGAGAGAAGCTTTAAAGTTTTCAAACCGATCAAAGAGTACAGGTAAGGAAAAACCGAACAAAGAGTACAGGTAAGGAAAAACCGAACAAAGAGTACAGGTAAGGAGAAAGAACTTATACTTTTCGATCTTAAAATTCTCTGTGATCGCAATTACACATAACGGGTGAAAAAGAAATTGCTCATGAGACAAAAAAACGGCAACAAATCACAGGAACACATGATTGTCACATCACATGATTGTCGCTTGGCAGAACATTGCAAAGTTAACTCAGTACAAGACTACATATAGGAGCAGCATTTCCATTAGATCGTTTATGTCGATGAGTTGATAAATTACTGCAGTCTTCTGCTCCGATCGCTGATATTTATTGCAAATAAGTCAGCTATCGAAGCGATCAAAACAGTCATGCAAACCAACTTCACTTCATGAGCAAACGAGAAATAGATGCATACGTACCTATAATTTTCTGATGCGATGGCCGAAAACAGTTCCTTGTCCATGCAGCTGGTTAAAATCGCTGTAGCTGCATGGCCCAGACAATCGTAATTCAATCATAAAAATTTAAAAAATGATAAAGATTAAAAGGAAGGTATAAAAAAGAAACAGGCGAAGAAATTATCATGTCTGCTGAAGTTTACGTCGAAATTGGCGCCGAAATATATCCCAGCATTCCATGTAGTTAGAAGTGTCACACAATCGCTTGGACATCACCAAACATATTTGACACTCAAGGCTTCAGTATTTCTTATTCCTTTCATCTTTAGATTGATGTATGTAGAGATTTCAAGTTGTAATTCATCCTTAAAAGTAATCTTGCAACATTTATCACGATTACTCCGTGACATATCTGAAATAGTTAGAGAGGCTCTCAATACTAGCATGACGTTATCGTAACGTGACGTGATGTCCAGACTGGGAACAACTTGGAACGCCTGCTGGAGAATGCCGAAGAGAATGAGAGTCACGAGATTTCACAATTCAAAATGTATATTTTTTCAATTTTTAGCGTAGGTTTGGGGCTTCTCTGTGTTCACATCGGCGCTTTTTCTCCGCCTAAGTATTCTAAATGTATCAGCAAAGATTTTGGACAAGGAGGGACCGTTTGTCTTTGCTCAGAAAACGAGTGCGACTCATTCAGCGAAGGAATTCCTCTTGGAACGGAAGAATATGCAGTTTACACGAGTTCTAAAGCGGGAGAACGTTTTAGTCTTAAGACAGCGAAGTTTGACAAGAGTTTGACGGTGAAGTCCTCCGTAGAAGATGTCCGTTTGATGGTAAATTCTAGTGTCAGGTTTCAAAAGATTCTCGGATTTGGGGGTGCATTTACAGGTAAAGTGGTGTTATACAGGATCAGTGAGTGCAAATCTTCTAAAGTTATACGAGCTTGGGTGTATTTGGTGGTTTTTTTTTAGGAGTTACATCACATTTTTGAAGCAGGGAGATACATATAGGCAATTACATGGGAGGATTATTGTGATCTGTAAGATCTGAAGGGTGACCAGCACACTGAATAAACTTGTCCCTTTAAGGCGTAGGTTGACTTTCTTTTAGCCAAAAAATATAAGTTGAATGATCGCAAGCCGAACTATTGGTTTTAAAATGTTAAATGCAAAAAAATCCTATCACAGAGAATTAATAGATAAGCCCATTAAAATAAATTTATTTGTGGAGTTCTTGATCTATGCTGGGCACCAGTAAAAAATTATCACAACTCTGACAAAGGCAACTTAAATACCCTACTTAGAATATTGAGTGTTTGCTCACTACAAAAAAAATACAAACAAAAAAGATCTCTGATGAAAATGTTTGTCAGATACTGCAAATTAAAAGAACCTTGTGTCTAGACAGTGACCAATTTAAACCAATCAACATGAGTGTTCCTTACCCCTTTACATCCCAACATCATTATGCATATTCTCCACACTTTTCTCTAGACATTTTGTAGGTTGCTGACAAGGAGAACTTGTTTAACAATCAAGAGCTTCTTTAGTTGGTGATCATTTCCTGTATTCTTGTTACCTTAATGTTTGATTCAGGGGTGATAATTTAGGGAGAAATTAGATGCCAGTCACTCATAGCAGTCAAAGGGTTAAGTTGTGCAAGGAGACATATGTTACTGATCAGAATACATTGTGTTGTGTATCAAGCTTTTTAATCTTCTGATGGCTGCATCTTTCAACAATGATTAAAGTAAAGTTATCAGTGTTTTTTCATTGGCTGGGCATGATAGAGGCCAATTAATTCTTCTGTGTCTTCTTACAGATGCTGCCTCAATTAATATTTACAACATCAGCACAGCCTTGAGGCAGAAACTTCTTTCTTCATATTTCTCAGAGGAAGGTATTGAGTATAACATTGGACGTATTCCTATGGCTAGTTGTGATTTTTCTACAAGACCTTACTCCTACAATGATCATGTTGGTGATCTTGAGATGGCCAACTTTAGCTTGGTTGATGAAGATGTAAAATTGAAAATTCCACTGATGTTGACAGCGATGAAGATGAGTAAGAAAAACATCACATTTTTTGGAAGTCCATGGTCTGCACCTGCATGGATGAAAACAAATAACAAGATGACTGGGTTTGGTCAATTAAAGGGCAAGGCAGGAGATAAAAACCACAAAGCATGGGCTTTGTACTTTGCCAAGTTTATTGAGGCATACAAGGAGAAGGGAATAAAGATCTGGGCAGTTACAGCACAAAATGAGCCATCTGATGGATTTATTCCATTGTAAGATAATCATTGTTCTGTGCTTTTTAATAATGGGCAAGCTTTAAAGTTGTGTAGAAGCATGGTTTAAAGTGCATTCTATGCTGCTAGAAATTATATTGAAGACTTTTTGCATTGTAGGGTAGACTTGTGTTGTTTACAAGGGTTTGTGAGGTCATAATCCAAAGCTGTGACCAGACAATTTTGATCCATTTTTACTTCCTTGATAATGATTGATTAAAGGGTAAAAATTTGAGTTCATTCTATTAGAATTTTGTTTCCTCATCTTCTGATGATGAAAACATATCACATATTTTTCTTTCTCTGCATTGAATTTTGTAATACTCTAAACCCTAACCCTAAGCATAATTATTAAAGATTTTGTTTACGTCAAGCACTTACTACAAACTGTAAGTACAATCATTAAATGGGACACTAGAACATGGCTTTGGTGTCATTTCAGAAAAAAAGTCCTAAAACCATTGTGAAGTTAATAGCATTTATCTACGTCAGCATACAAATGTTTAAAAGTAAAATTGATTTTATCTAAAAATTATTTTCAACATTTTTTTTTCATTCTAGAGACATTTTTATACTCATAAAGAAGAAAAATACAAAAGAATTAAACTGGTTGAAATTATTTCAACCCAAATTTATTTGAAACAACAACATCTGCATTTTAGTGCCATAGATGAAAATTAATTTTTATTTTTTATCTTCCTTTCTTCCAGTTTTTCATTTCAGTGTATGGGATACACAGCTGCAATGGAGAGAGATTTTATCAAGGAGGACTTAGGGCCTATGCTATCAGCTCGTGGCCATGCTGATGTGAAGATAATCATGCTTGATGATCAGCGCATGTTTTTGAAGTCATGGGCAAACACTATTCTTACTGATCCAGATGCTGCTAAGTATGTCGCTGGAATTGGTGTTCACTGGTATGAAGATATATTTCTTCCTGCCAAAGCGCTGAGTGACACTCACAACAGGTGATTGCTGTGATCTAGGTTATCTGTTAATCCTTTTACCCCTAAGAATGACTAACATCTAATTTCTCCTTACAATATCACCCCTGAATCATGCAGTAAGGTCACGAGAATAAAGAAAACTATCAGTAGTAAGAGGCTCTTGATTGTTGCACAAATTCTCCTAGTCAGCACCTTAGGGAATGTATAGGGAACAGTATGGAGAATATCTTTACTGATGTTAGGGTGTAAAGGGTTAAATGGGTATTATTACTATTATTATCTTTCAAGCCTTAAAACCCTGGCTACAGTATGCAAGTTCTTCCTAATGTTCTCTATACATTAGCTATGGATAATCTATCTGACAGTCATGGACGTTTTAACTTGAGTTCCTAATCATTTCCTTTATTTTCATGACCTACATGTTTTATTCAGATCTGATACTCTTTGGAGAAATCAGATGCTCATCATTCTTAAGATATAAAGGGTTATTGCATGTTGTAAATTTGAGGAGAAAAGATTCCTGTGCCAGAGAACACAAAGTGACCTTACAAGGGCTAATGTACGACTCATTGTATTTTTCTTTGGAAGAACATTTAATATGCCTTTTTGATAAATCATTATCCTCGAAAGAACCATTAGGCTAGGATATAGACATAGACAGGATATAAAAATAACTCTACTTATGCAAACTTCTAGTAGCAATTTTCAGAAAATTTTCCTGGAAAAGGATAGGATTGAAATTGAGGGAACTGAGAATTTACTGGCTAAATTTCAAGATTAAAGTTGACAAAGTTGACTCTAATTTGATTGATAACTTAAGTTGCAAACTTAAAAATGTAAAATGGTAATCACATTAACTTAAAGAAATTGTGTTACTAATATTGTAGAGGAAACTTATTTCTTTTCTCTTTGTTAGGTTTCCTGATTACTTCATTCTTGCTACCGAAGCCTGTATTGATCCCCACCTCTCCAAACCTCCTATAGTCAGCCTGGGGAACTGGGCGAGAGGGAATCGGTACAGCCATAGTATAATTGAGGTTTGTGCTCTGCTTGATCTTATTATAGACACACCTTGGAATCTATGTTTTTTCACGAAAGGCTGAGATGAGAATGATTAACATTGTGTTTTATATCTGGTTATTCACCATCGTTACGAGTTTTAATCAAACTATTGAAGAACTGAGCCAGAAAAGATACTTTTTTTACAACTTAAATTTGTAGACGCGGTTAATTTTGCTCAGATTTTGCAAGTTTTTTTTCTTTCCCTAGTTTTTTTTGTATGGCCTGACCTTTAATCGTAAAATAGGCGCTGAAAATTCAAAAAAGAAAATACCTCTACCGTTCTTACTATCGCACTATATTTGGAAAGATATCCGTATAACCTATATTATTCTAAACAAAGCCCTGGTCCCAAGGTGATCTACTGATTTGCCATTGATTTTTTTTATCCAATACTGTATGCATAATGACGTATTGGGCTGTAAGGAAGTCTTGTCTAATACTCAATAGTGACCGACGTTTTGGCAACCTCAGCGTATAAGTCATAGTCAAATTTAAGAGAGTAAATGTTAGTCAGTCGAGTGTTATAGGATCCTGTTCGTGGAAATTTTTCTGAATTGAAATTTGCCTCAAGATTGTATTAAGGTATTCAGCTCTGATTGTTCCGTTTCGATCCATCATTCTGTTTGGTCTGCTGGTTATGAAAAATTCGTTTTCATGGTGCCAGTAGTTGTAGACGTTAATAAGGAAAACCGGTTTTCTAAATTTGGGGCAGAGGTTCATTAATTTTAAGTGAGCTATTCTGCTTTGTAATTGTCACATCATCTTTTCTCTTCGCTCGTTTGTGTTCGCTCGGTGTTATATGTATTATGTTAAACCAAAGGGTGTTTGTAGTTCAAAGTTACTTAGCGGCGCAGCTCCATAGCAGGTCAACAAATGGTTTATCAGAACTAAAGTATTAAACTTGTCTCCACGAGAGAAAAATCGCAATTTTCTTTCCCTTCTTTTTAGGAGTAGATACACCTAATTGCCAGTGACGATGTTACAGAAAAAGTAGAAAGAAAAGAAGAAAAATCCGGCGTTAGCGTACTATTTTTTTTCTAATTATTGAAATCGCTTGAAATTTCTAAACAACATCTGATACTCTCAAAAAGTTCGAAAGTGGAAATTTTGTGAAAATTTCCTGCTTTCGGGCAATTATAACCCGAGAGTAGTTTTAAATGCTAATATAGTAAATAAATCCCTTTTTAGACTTGTTCCCTTTTTGTAATTACAATGTGTTTTTTCCTATGACAACGTTATTGCAGGTACCCTATACTGAAAAGGTTTACTTTTCACTTCATGGAAAAAATATTAGTCTTTTATTTACTTGGCTGATTTGCCAATCAACCTTGGAAGGTCGATTTCTAATTCTAGAAAGTGTCAAGGAAAATTTGAATGCTTCATTTACGGGACACTCTTCATAAAAGAATGGAATCCTTATATTAATATCTACGCCGATAACATCCGTTTTTAAGTCTTTGTTTAGAGACAATTTTAAAAATTTCTATACGATTTTTAATGAAGTATTGTTTTACTAAGAATTTTTTACATTCACAGCAGCTCTTATTTTTTGACTTGATAATAATGTTGACATTTTCTGGACGTGAAAATGTCGTTTTCAAGTTCTTTTGTTTGATTTACTTAATGCTTTCAAAGCAATGTTTTAATCGCGGTTTTTTAATCGACTCAAATGTTCGCAAAAAAAAAAACCGCTCCTTAACCTGGAAAATTCACAGAGCAAATAGCTGTTTTTATGAGCATGAAAACATTTATTGACACGCGCTGGTAACTTTCTACTTCACAGAGGAAATAGCTTCTTTTGCGAGTAAGCAAAAATTTGCGTAGCTTCTAAAGAGCGGCTGCGTAGAGCTGGGTCAGTTGGTACAACCGCCCAACTAATATCCAGGAGGCATGGGTTCGAATCGCGTCGAAGCTTGATTTTTTCTAAGCTTCTTTTTTACAAAGCTGAAATTGCATTTCATCCGCAAGGATGATTTCTTTGTTTGGAAACCATTTTTCATTGATTCCTGAATTTAACCTAACTTTTCGACGTAATATGTGTAATTTTCATTTTAATTAAAGTGGATAATCTGAGAACCACTCATTTCGTTGCAATATTTAGCGGACGGATTGCCACAAATAAGGGAGTTGACGAAATTTCCTTCGTACGACACTATATTACTTTCAAACGAAGCCATGGAAAAGCGTTGAAAAAAACAGCTGTCAAATTTTGAGCAAGGATGACAGGTTTATTTGCTATCTAGAGCAGTTCGGCCTGTCATGTATCACATCTTCCGACGAAGTGTATACATTTTGCAATGTCGCGCATATTGTATAACTCGCAGAGGTTCAGGATACTTAAAGACGTTTTTTTCGTCATTTTTTAATTCTAGCTGTTGCGAGAATATTTATACAAAACTTGTGGTTTCTGGTGCCGCTTGGACAAAAGCTTCAAGGGACCCCTTGTATTAAGTACCCGTCATCCTCTTCTGTCTTTTATAAGAGGTGTGCCGGGGAACAAAAAAAATGCAGCTGCAGAAGAAGCAACTTAAGATGCAAATAGAAATCGCCTTCAACCTAAGGCTGTACCGTCAACTTGAGCAAATATCACTATAACGACGACAGTGACTGGAAGAAAACGAACCTCTGTTGTTTCCATGGAATACCTTCGTTGATCAAACTATTTCGCTGAGGTTGCTTCTTTTTTTTACCCGAATACGTTATCGAACGGAGTTGCAAACAAAAATATTTCAGGTTGCTTTTTTATGACTGGCATACGTTATCAAGCGGAGTTGCAGAACTGAAAATGGACCAAAACCCGGTGCCTTTTTTAATTAATGCTGCCCTGAACATTCCATTTTGTTTAGTTGCCGTTGCGGGAAATTCGCTGGTTTTAGCTTCGTTTGCTAAGAACCGCTCACTCATTTCACCGTCTAATGTTATTTTAATCGGACTGGCGGTCTCTGATCTTTGTGTGGGCGTAATCGTCCAACCTTTGTACATCGTGTGGAGATTCAACCAATTTTTCTCCAGGGACAACTGGGGAAAAGGAATTCTCGATTCACTTACACTGTTTTTATCGTGTGCTCTGTGTTCTTTCTCATTTTTGACCGTCACCACCCTCAGTGTCGACAGATACTTAGCTTTGCGTCTTCATCTACGTTACAGAGAACTTATAACTGTTCGTCGTGTCTCCTATTTTCTTGGTTTTGCTTGCATGTCTGCGTTTTCCCTCTGCACAATGACCGTATTTCTACCTGCACACGATGAATACATTGCCTCTGTCATGGCGCTCGCTTTCTTCGTGATAAATACTGTAATCTACTTCAAGATTTATTGCGTGGTACGCAGGCATAGGAGGGAGATAACAGAACAACAACGACACCAACCAGAACAACTACACACAAGCAGAATTCCTGTCACAAGATTTGCAAACATTTTACGATTGCGGAATTCATTTCTCGACACGTTTTATGTGTACTTGATTTTTTTGTGCTGTTATATTCCATATATCTCCATAGCAATTATATTTCCCGAGTTCAAAACAAACTCTTCGCTTGTTATTGCATTCGAGATTTCTTGGAGTTTGGTTTTCATAAACTCCTCGCTGAATCCTTTGCTATATTCATGGCGGATCAAGGGGGTTCGCGCAACGATGAAAACAATTCTACTAGGATCTTCGAAAAGACAATCAGCTCCGTCCATAAGAAGGGATGCCGGCCATAGTTTTGCCATGTACCATATAAATCATTCTTGTGAAGTTTTGTAAATCAATCTCGTCCAGTTATGTAAGCAATCTGCTGAGTATTGCCATTGTTGTCAAGTGAGGTAGACAAAAGTAATTTTCATTTTCCCAGCTCTACGCAGTGTTTATTTGTACATGTATGACCACGCCACTAGAATTAAACTGTTCTGAAGTACAGATATTATTAAAATTATCCTTTTTACACTGAAACCGTAAGGTTGGAGTTGAACGGATTCCTGGACTGACGTTACTATGTCTCACCCAGACTTAACGAAAATGAATTTCGTTGCGTGATATTTTCTTCTTTGTCATGTAAATCTTAGAAAAACGAGTATTATATCAATTCTAAAATAAAATAGACACAAAAAAATCTCGAAATAATTGCAAAAGTATAAAGTTTTGGTGAGGGTATGCAAAAGTAATAATAAAATTAGTAATACACGAAGCTTTCATTAACACAAAACGCATTATTTAACTTTTTAAGTAAGGTATAAACGCAGGTTACAGAATACGCAAGACTGAAGTCCTGATGTGGTATATTATGCTGACAAAATGTAGATTAAACTCAGTCCTGGTTGAAAATAGGGAATGCTTTATCCACCACATCTTAGCATTTTGTCTTTAATGTATAAATTGAACCTGTCATTAGTTAACGTGAGAGGTCGTGCTTTTCGGTACTCTTATTTTCACACGTAACAAACTAACATTAATTAAGCTAGCTTTAGAAACTCTTTACATTATCAACTCAGGTGGGAAAACCAAATTATGTCACATAATTAGCATCGCGCTTTCAGGATTATGTAAACCTCTTTAGTTTCACACTTTTATTTTACAGATGTAACAAACGAACGTTACTGTAGCTTTAGAAACTCTCTGCTGTGGCCAATTTATGTTATCAACACAGTTGATGAAACCAAATTAACAATATCTCACATAATTAGCGTCGCGCTTTGACGTGAATTATAAGCTAAACAATCAACAAACAAGCAAATAAGCTTAGTCCTTAATTATTTTAATGCTGCGAATCCACGCGAATACTTGTTTTTAAGAAAATCATTCGAATTCACCATCAGTGATGCTACAGAGCCAAGTATTAAGTTGAGTTTGATTCCTATTATTGCATGCTTTCCATATTTCCCAGAAAAATTGTCAAAACGTTTTATTCTAGCAGACCAGCAAACTCACAATTGCGCATTTGGGGTAAATGTACATTTGCGCGTTGAATACGGTCAGTGCCTTGCCTTTTGGTAAAAAATTCATGCTTGTTTGCAAAGCGCGGCGACAGAATGCTGCTGTAACAATTTTACTTCTGTTGTGAAGTATTAAATATGTACTTTGTTGTCCATTGGTTTTTTCTGTGTTTTCTATTTGTAAAACAAATGGTAAACAAGCTAAAGGTAAAAAGTTTGTATCTTTTCTGTAGAATATTTAGCATGTGTGCTCTCGCAGAATGATCATTCGATCATTCGGGCAAGGCGTTGAGACGTGCGGGAAAAAAAATGCGAGCTCCGCTTTTAGGCTTGGCTAAATCTATATATTATCGGTAAAGGCGGACCAAATCTTGGGGGTTGCAAATCTTCTAAGAAACCGGCACTTGTCTTCATTTGCAGTATGTTTGAACCTTTTTTATGGTTGGAGAACACTGGTCACAAAAGACAGTCATTATGACGGACAGCCCAAGATGTATTTTCGACTCTGTTGAGGGTTTAGGGTTTCATACGCAACCTCCGTGATTATCTTACATTCTCGCGTGTTGAAGCACACATTTAGAATTGTGCACTAACCTGATTCACTTTTATTTTGGAGCCCATCGATCGCCCGCACAAACAGACATATTATACAAATTCAGTCAGTAAAATTACACTGCTGGAATTCTTATCAATTCTTAATTGAACGGTTTAATACAATGCCCTATGGAACGGACAAATGTGTCATGTGACTTCGGAAAAAAAAAAGGGTTGGGGAGGGGGGGGGGGATAAGGAAAAAGATGTTGAAATTGCCTCATAAGTGAAAGTGTAAGGTAGGAGGCCAGTTTGCAAACAACTAGTTAGTGAAGATAAACGCTAATTTTTAGTACCTTTTTATTAACCTCGTTCTTTGTCTGAACTCTAAGTTACGGACCGAATTTTTTCCCTGGCTTGGATTTAAGGACAAAGCGCGCGGGCCATAAATCCGAGCGGAACAAACGAGGTTCCGTAACTCACGAGGAAAACGAGGATAGTAAGATTGTCATATTTATTTTATCTCCGAGTTCAAATAGAGGGGAAAGATTAAAGGGACAAATTCAAACAACTTTTTAAATTTAGCGGGCTGCACAGTAAAATATGTCCCGCTAAATTTACTGATCAAAGCGCACGTATTGACCAAGAGCTATCATGAAGAGAAATAACTGAAGCAACTTTGAGTGGAGTGGACCTATTTCACTGCTTATGTTTAATATCAATGTTTCTGATATTGTTCCATGTAACTCTTCAGGACTTGTCCAACTGGGCTGTTGGATGGGTGGACTGGAACATAGCTCTCAACATGGAGGGAGGACCCAACTGGGTGAAGAACTTTGTTGACTCTCCAATTATTGTAGATGCAGAGAAAGGACTTTTCTATAAACAGGTATAAATTTGGTTGCAATTTTTCATTTTCACTCCAAAAGTAATCAGTTTTGAACAAAGTTATGGTCATCTGCTAAAAAAATTGGCTTTTGGGGTAAAGTTGTAGCCAGTGATGAAAATAAAAAAATCTCACGCATATTGCCCAATTGTGAAACGGTTAAAAACAAAAGAATTCTAAAATACACTTCATCATATAGTCAGAAGGAAACTATACAAAAATGCGATTTCGATCAGTTGCACAGCAGTCAACAGATGGTAATGATGATGATGATGACAATGATGAAAATCAGGGCAATGAAGATAAAACGGACAACGGCCATTTTTGCTAAAAAAAAAAAGACTGCCACAATTATTTGCATTTCTCTGACATATAAATACATATATACATAGATATCTTTTCTGCCCGGATTTTCAGTGCCAGTTACTGATGCTATAATTTCTGGTGATTCTTCTATTCACAGCCAATGTTTTATCATTTGGGCCACTTTAGTAAGTTTGTGCCTCCTGGCTCACAAAGAATTGAGGTTACAGCAAGTGGCAAATCTTCCCTTCAGTTCATTGGTTTTACTACTCCAGCACCATCCATGTCAACAGTAGTTATTATACTCAACAAAGATGACTTTGCAGTTGAATTGCAAATTAATTCTCAAGATGGTACCATCACTGAGACTGTGCCACCATCTTCCATTCAAACTTACATCTGGTAGAATTGGCACAAGAATGAAGATGATATTTTAATCGGTCATACAATACATTCCTAAATCAAAAATTCTTCGCTTAGAATTGATTGTTCCTATCAAAAACTGCTGTGTGAAAAGGTTAAGAGAAAAAAAAATTAATAAAACCCTGCTGTTTCAGGGAATTGGGAAGCTTTAAGACAAAGAGATATGTCCAGGAGAAAACTAATTCTGCTTATGCGTTGATTGAAAAAGTAAATTGAAGAATTCTTTGAGGAAAACTGCTAGGGAAAAGAGACTCGTGTAGGGATGTTCAAGCTTTAAAGTTTCATATGCATTAAAAGTTTCTTTAGTGCATAAGAGCATAACATATAGTTTATGATTGACTTTGCGACTGATTTTTCTAAATTAATTTACATTCATAATTTCCCACTGACCAATATCACCACAACCAAGACATGGCTGTTAATGCTTGGCACACACTGTGATGAATTTGAGCAACTCCATGGCAACATGAATCAGTTACTGTTAAGCCCTAGAACACTCCCTGCATGTCTAAGTTGGAGCCTCTCAGTTACAGGTACTCAGTGTAGTTGTGTCAAATGTCAAGAAGCCAGCAGCTCATCATCCTCATCATGGGGTTCTGACATTTCTGCATCATCATCATCATCTTCATTGGAGGATAGATCTGATGTATTACTAGCACAAGCAACTTGTTTTGTGTCTTCTCTGTCTCCTTCTTCATTATGTCTGAAGTAAGTCCCTGGAAGAAATAGTTTATAATTTTACTTTATAATTTTATTTTCTGAAGAAAGTCCCCGGAAGAAATAGTTTATAATTTTACTCAAAGTTAATTTAAGAGATACTTGCAAATAGTTGTTGGTAAAAAATACTGGGTGAAGACTTTTAATTGTCATACAAATCATACATATGGAACAAAATCACAAAAAAAAAATTCAATTTAATAATAAACTGAGATAACTTAAAACAGTAGCTCATACAGATAATACTTACTGATATTATAATTTCAAAAGAACTTGCTTTGCTATTTAATAAATAAAGAATTAAATGAAGTACAAAATATAACAAAATAAAGAGAAATGAATCAGATCTTGTGTAGACTTTGCTTTATGTGTCAATAAATGGTAAAAATAATCAACATTGATGACCTACTTCTTTGTCTTTCTGTCATAGATTTTATTTCTTGTTGTAACATACTGTCCTTTGAGGCTCTTTCTGCTGGTGTTGGTTCAGACCTTAAGCAAAATTAATAATTTATTTTGTGTGATAAAGTGATTAATGCTGAACACTTGATACATAACCCTGGTCTGCCCCAGTCCTTTCACCCTGACCCTAAGAGTGGCCAGCATCTTATTTCCCTCTGCTGAATCATTTATTAAGATCACAAGAATAAAGTAAAGGATTGCCAATCTACACGGAAGATGCTTTGATTGTTAAACAAATTCTTCTTGTTTGTACAACAGGAAATGTTTAAAGAATGTATGGAGAATATAGATACTGATGTTGTGGTGTATGGGGTTACCCCTTGAACTCCCAGATCAAATTTGTAATTCTTGTTACTGTCAAGCATACAGTTCTTATAATGTTTGTTCAGAGAATTTAGTATTGGATCAACTAATTACCACAAATTTATATTTTTCTTTATTCTCATCATTTATCTGGTTGATATTTTATTGATATTGCAAGGAGAAATTCTGTCTTGGTCACTCATGGGAGTTAAAGGGTTAATGGATCCAGACAGCTAATGATCCAAGGTTTATTTATAAAAACCTATGGGCATACACTCTCAGTCCAGTGCTAAGCGTCACTTTAGATGTGACTGACACTTACTTTGCTGCTATTTCTCGCACCTCCCCACACTTCTCACACACCCCTGTTTGTTGTGCACATTTAGAACAAACTGTGTGATAAGCATGTTTTATTGTCTTCAGCTCACACCTCACACTGAAAGTAAATAAAAAAATTGATATATAAATACTGTTTTAGTTGCACAAAGTAATTACTAGGATTTCCAATCTACTTGACCGATCCTATGATAATGTAAGCATCTATTTCTTATTAATTAAAGGGGGTATGTTTCTAGAGAAACTGTGGTGCCACATCAGTGGGAGAGTATAACAGGGTAATTTAGTATTATCAAGTGAGTTTATAACATGAATTGGCCACCATAAAGAGTTTCAAAGTTGACATTTGGAGCGTTAGCTCTTTGTCAGCCCGGCTAAACTTCAGAATACCTGGCCACCTTGGTCCACCTCACTTACATGTGTCGGGAGGCTTTGAAGATTGAGGCATAACACAATAGACACTATTCTTATTCAATGACATGTAAATGAGTGGCCGGGTATTATAATATGAATTGGCCACCATAAAGAGTTTCAAAGCTGACATTTTGAGCATTAGCCCTTCGTCAGCCCGGCTAAACTTCAGAATACCAGGCCACTTTGGTCCACCTCACTTACATGTGTCAGGAGGCTTTGAAGATCAAGGCATAACACAATAGACGCTATTCTTATTCAATGACATGTAATTGAGTGGCTGAGTATTCTGAAGTTGCTCCGTCAGCCCTTCATCATTTTGCTCTGACAAAGGGTGAATTCTCTAAACATCAGCTTTGAAACTCTTTACAGTGGGCAATTTACATTATCAACTCAGTTGATAATTTACTAAATTACCCTATTTCCCATTACAGTTACACAACAGCAATTGAAAAGGTACAAATTACTGTCAGTAAATACAAGAGGAAATACAATACCACGAATGGCTCTTGTTCACTGAGGGATTCATGTTATAAGCTACATGGGTATCGGTAGCACCATTACTTTTGCCCAAAAATTCACTGTGAGAACGTTTTGCACACCCCATGAAACCGGGGACTAAAATCGCAAACAAAACATTCAACAAATATTTCTCTTGAGACAAGCATTTCAATTAGCTTTATTTGAGGAGTTTAAGGCTCTTCTCCTGATCTGCTAACGAAAGGAAATTTGGTTCAGGTCTAATTTCAAGGGAGATTGGACCCATGTACCACTAACATGATACAGAAAAGTAAGTGAACGCCCAACGAAAATCATTCCTCTGAAAGAAATTGTACATAAAAAGCACTTACCATTTCTTTGGCGCTGTAAGAGGCTTGTATTTTTTGTATTTCTTTCTCCACTCAATGATCTCACGACATCTTACGCAAACTCCACCAACTTTCAAACTATTGATTTGCTTTGTCTTTTTGCTTGTATCATGAAGATTGTTCTTGAAAGCTTTCGTGTTTTGATGTCTCTGGCCCTTTTTCGTGTTATTTCCCTTTTTGGTGCTCATTTCCAATGATCAATTCACAGAAGTTAATTCCTTGTTCCACTTCACAACATTCACGTGTGTTAGATTACCAGCGGTGTTTCTGACAAAGACAACCATCTTACGCATATACGTAGCTTTGAAACAGCTGACCAGTTAAACTCAACATGGCGGACGAAATTCATCAGACCACCTCCAAACTTCTTATTTTCACTGCCCCAAATTTATGCTTTGATTGCATTCAGAAAACGTCAATAGATGAACAGAAGGGTAAGTTTTTCTATTTCTACCTTTGGCCTAGTGCTAACTTAAAATTCCTCTTCCATTCCTCTTTTCGGCTGATAATTTTCTGTGCTTATTTTTGGCCTATTTTTCAATGGAGCTACGCAATTATTTGATGGAGTTTTTGTTACTGTTGTTGATATTGAAGGTGACATTTGTTTCCCTTTGCGCCTCATAGAGGTTCGAGTAAATTCTAGCAATTGCTGGAAGCAGACAACCTTTAGTTTCAACGAAAACTCAAACGTGGTCTGCGATCGCAAGGTCCACAACAATGGTAACGATGTCGAACTCACTGACGAGAGTGACGTTACGATCGAGTATGACCCACTGGCGATACAGGAATCGGTTTGGTTCTACCTTGAGAGTGAATTTAAGAATGGTGAAAACATTAGCTCCTCCTCGCCCTCTCAGCCGTGTGGATCTGACGCAGAATTTCACATACCTGATGACGAACATGCCTCTTCAAACAGCGATGCTCTTCAGAAAGAATTCGAAGATATACGATCTGCTAGTCAAAAGCTACTTGTCAGTGACAAAGCTGAAAGTTGCAGCAGTTCAAGTGGAGATATTGATCGTGATAGCAGAGGGCTGAAGAGGAAGGCTGAGGAATATCAGAATCTTGATCACATTGATACACATCAACTGACAATGGAAGATATTTATACTCAGGACAAGTACCTTTCTTCAAGTGATAGCTGCAGCCCAGCTAAAAGAGAAGCCAGAATGCGAAGTCCCATATCGATCAGCTGTCGAGGGAGTTTAAATGGTTCATTTCAAAATGACAATAACTCTCACGAGCATGGCTCTTCTCCTTGTGTACTGATGGTACCCAGAGTCAGTGGGAACCTCACTTTGCTGAGAGACTGTACTGAGGAGAATTCTATCGTAAATATACTCTTTATTGTTATCCAAGTGAATGACATTCGTGATGTTCAAGTCAAATCAGGTGTGAGTGCTGGCAACTTTGTCGCTCTGTCTTCACTGGTTATTGCTGATGATTCCAAATCTTGTTTTAAGCTTACGTTATGGAGAGAGGCGTCCAGATGGACTGAGAAAATAAATCCAGGTGATTTTGCTGTGGCAACTGCTATCAAGATTGGGAAATGGCGCGATGAATATGTTGGAAAAACAACTTTCAATTCGGGATTTTACAACCTTCATCAGCCCAAAGCAACCCTCTCAAAAGGTTGTTTAAACTTGGTTTCACAAGTACGGCTTAATTCCCTTGTGACGTGGGTTAGATCAGAGCATTCATACCTTCTCACTGGGGGCCATTTAAAGAAAAATGTTGAATTTACAGAAATTACTCATCTTCACAATAATACTTTGGTCCACTTTAGAGGCAAACTGATCAGTGTCCACAGGGCTTCGTCGTCATCAAACACCTATCATTTTGGTGTGCAACAGCTGACCAAGATATCGACAGGTAAGCAGTGGTAATGAAGTCTGCAAGATATTTATGTCAATAAGGACTACTGTTAGTAAAAGGTACATCTTGCCAACGGGTCTTTTTGTTTTTTGTTTTGTTTTGTTTTGTTTTGTAGCGTTGTTAATAGAGCGTCTGACTGTGGGTGAGAGAAGTAAGTGTTTTGTGCCTACCCTCAAAAAATTGTTTCTTTGCAAGCACCGGCTAGCGAGTTGCGAGCAGAATTTTATTAGTGCGCGGCCATAACCCCTTTTTTGTCGAACGAGCGCGGGCCTGTGTTGAACGAAATTCGTGTTTGTGTGTGTGTTATTTTCTTGTTTGTGTATTTGCTGTATTGTTGTTGTTGTTTGTTTGTTTGTTTGTTTGTTTACTTCCTTATAAATTTCTTTGTAGCTTCAAAACCTTGATAACCAATGTTTTTTAGCATAACCAAACTACCATGTACGTATGTAAATCATTAAGTCATATATATTTTATACTTTTTTCGTCTGTTTTGTTTCCCAGTTCTATCTGACCGCCCAAGCGAGGAAGTAGAGCTGTTTTTGTGGGGAAGACAGGCTGCGTGGGAAAACCAACTGCAAGAAGGATTTGGGCAAATCTGGGAATTCCAGTTCCTTACCGCTAAGTTCAACAGTGACAGTGGCCGCATGACGCTACACTCAACGTCCCGGTCAACAATGTACAAATTGAATCCGCAAGACAAAAATGCCCGATGTATCATGTCACGATTTAATGGAGGCGTCACGGAAATAACTAAATTCGCAAACATACGAGATCTGCTTGAGTCAAAATACACTGGCCTTGCTGAATTTGAAGCTAAGATTTCATCTGTTCGTTTTAACAGTGCAAATGAGGTCATCGTTGTGGACAAAACCGAATCCGCAAGCACTAAACTGCGCAATAAGCTCGACAAAATAGTGTATATTGGCTGTGGGTCTTGCTCGCGTGTTCTTCCGCAAGATCAGAACAGCGTTTACGGTCAGTGTTCGCATTGCGTTGTCACTGATCCTAACTATAAATACACGGTAGGCCATTATTACAAACCGTTGACCTTTTGCTTAAGTGACGGTCATATGTCTGTCGAAGTAGACGCGTTTAACAGCGTCACAACCGGTCTCTTTGGAGATTTTCCTGCCAAGACCTTGTGGCAAAGAACAGCAAATGCGTCGTTACGTGATAACAGTTATTTAGATGGTTTCCTTGAGTGTGTTGGTGCCTTGCTCAAAGGGAATATTTACAAATCGATTGTGGCGTGCCGTATAGAGCTTGACGAAAACAGCTTTGTCGAAAACAGATATTTCACTCTTCGGGAAATCCATTCCTTGTGAGTATTTTCACGAAATTATTGAAATTCGTGATGTACTTGGGAATTCTTTGGCAACTTACCTGACTTTTTTTTTAACGCTTATGCTGCACAAAAAAGGCCTGTGTGAACGAATGAAACTTCGGTTTTCGACAAATCTGTTTTGGAGATCTCGCTATGACTTTGTAGGAAAGAACAGAAAATGCGTCGTAATATGTATGTAGATAATTTCCTTGAGCGTTGGTGTTAATGTCAAGGGGAATTTTGTCAAAGTCTCGATTATTTCGTGGCTCAGAATAGAGAGTCTTTTATTTCTCATTCTTGCCGTAACCTACATTATGCTTCACCTTTCGCAGTTCACGTATCTCATAACGCAATTTTTTGTTTACAGAAACAGTTTCAATAAATCCCTGATATCATGATTTTACCTTTAAATTATTGTTCAGTCATTTGGAAGACAAAAAAAATGCGGGGAAAAAAAACAGTGACTCAGTGGCTTTGGAAAGTTATCGAACTTTTATTCTTAAAATTGTGTTACCGTATTTACCCTTGTATAATGCGCACTTTCTTTCTACGAAAATAACCATCAAAATCGCGGTGCGTATTATACGCGGTTTCTATTGTTTTTCAAGTACGTCCTAATTTGCATACGTTATAAACACAAGAAAGAAAGTAACAAAAGCCCAGTAGTAATTGGTCTTTATTGGCTTGAGCTAAATAATCTACCGATGAAACATTTTCAATTTCGATCCACAAACACAACAAAGAAAGTAACGAAAGCCTCGTAGTAATTGGTCTTTATTAGCTTGAGTTAAATAATCAGCTAATGAAACATTTTCAATTTCGATCCATAAATAAATTTAGTAGAGTATTTAAGAAACAGCTGACGAGATAAACATTACGATCGTACCGTATTACTGTAATCACAAGCGACAAGAAATTCGAAATGGTATTACCACTGCAAAACGTCAGTTGTAGGAAGAATTAACGTTTTTTTTTGCTCTGAAAACTTTTGTTTATGAAAAATTTGGTCAAAAATCGGGGTGCGTATTATACATGGGCGCGTATTATACACGGGGAAATACGGTAATTTGCATACGCTTTGCATAAATATTTATTAAATTACTTACTTATTTGCTTTTGTCTTGGTTCTAAGTAATTATTGATTCATGACGTTTATCACCTCTTGGTCAACATTCAAACTTAGATACGACGGGTCTGAGGAATTCATCCCTGTCGCGAAAAAATAACTTCCATAAACTCTAAGTTCCCGAGCGATTGATAAACAACGCAGTAGATCTTCGCTGACATCAAATGGTATCTTCTGAACAAACAACATGTTGCGCTTGTTCCAGCCTAGAACCCAACGTAAATCGCGAACACTTAACCAACATATTTGCCGCACCCATTTTCCATGGCATTTATAGTTCGCCTCATTTTTGTCTTTGTCAAACCAATCAATAGCACGCATAACAAACGCGGGCTGCAAGCCAATGACACCCCCTGGAACTCCGGGGTGTTGTTGTAAAGAAGAGTAGAAAGTTTCCGGTGGACTCCTTGTATCTGAGAGCCACTCAATAAAATCGCGAGCAGTCTGGTTAAATACGATATACTCCACAAATCCTTTTGTAAGCCCGACGTGGTTTGCACCCTTAAAAAGTGTGATGTTGTAGGGTGGTGGTTTTTTCTTTCGAGATGTCTTGACAGGTTTGTATGCTTTGTGGTCTGAACCTTGCATTTGTCTTTTGAACTCGTATACATACTGCGTGCGACGTTTTAAGTCAGGATGGTGAAAGCTTTGAATATTGTTTTTACCGTTTAGCGCGCGTAAGGCGCGCACTAGTTCTCGATTGTTATAAAGAGGGAAATCCTGGCCAACGAGGTTAATCAGATACTTCCAGTCTTTGCCAGTGTTGAGCAAGTCCTCCATACAATTGAACTGCGCGTATAAGATACTGATATGCGGATAAATGACATCGACGCTTTTCTTCGCCAATAGCACATTCGGTAAGCATCGAATCAACTCCGTTGCCGCTGCACAGAAAGTTGGTGAAGACTTCAAGTCAATGTGAATGCAGTATAGGTTTTGAGGCATGTAAATGGCTTGAAGGAGTTTCTCTAAGAGCGAGGCTGATTTGTACACGGAGATCGTGAAAGCTATTGGAAATTCAAGTTCTGACTGAGTAGGTGCAGGGTGGCTAAATTGTTGCTGGACTATGGAGGTACACTCTTTAGTCCTGTATGTTTGGTAAATGATGTCATCATCACTAATCAAAGTTGTATTGCCAAGCTCGATTGAAGGATCACTTTGGATCTTCGCTACACATTTATTCCAGTCTTTTTTCTAAAACCGTGATGAAAAAAACAACAAAAACAAAACAAAACTAGATGTTAGTCATAGTTTTGAAGTGTCTATATACTCTCATGACGTACACATTAAACTTAGTTAAATCTCTTGCCGCCTTATCATATGTTTTTCCATATTAGTGTGTAGAAGTAAACTCTTTCGCTGTCTGTACTCGAGCGTAGTAATCCATTCAACGGGAGCTCATCCCGGTTTCCAAAGCATGAAGTGACCAGGAGAATGACTTCGCGCCCCGGATGGGATGCCTGTTAATCGCAAGGTTCCTCCCCCCTTAACACCAGTATTTGATCAGGCATCCCTGACAGTTCACCAATACCCATTGTTGGTATCTAACTAGTCTCGAACTCGTGCCCAGACATTTCCCAGCCAAGCGCTTAGTTGTATTTACACGGTAGGATCTGGGTAAGAGATTAGTACCCAACTCATGGTTGACGGGTATTACTTAACTCGACAAGGAAAGGGATAAAAGCCGATCGATGTCTACATTGAATGCTATTGGCTCTGAGAACTGTGGTGTCATGGTCAGGGGATGTGGCAACCGATTTGATTCCTGCTTCTTCCGTGAAAGTAAATCTATTATTTGTAAGGTGAGGGACGATTGGAAGAGAATTTCCTATCATAGATATGGTTTTTAAAAAACTAAATAGTCAGGGGGCTGGCAGTTTGTATGCTATTTTGGTCTCATTAATATCCATTCTAGGAGAAAAGGGTAGGTACTGACAGTTGTATGTACATGCTTTTTGAACCTAAATGCAAAAAACACAATTTTTTTTTAAACTCGAAGGTAGCTATGATTTTTAACTTGCATCTAAAAGTGAAATTGACTCGATTGGATTGTAAGCTTTTGTCTTTCTTGTTAAGAGAAACCAAGGAAATATATTGGAATTGAAGAGTTATACTGACTCACCAATTGATTTTTCTGTTGTGAGTTTTTTACTTCTTGTCGAGCAATCCAGAAGGTTAGGACCATGGATAGGACCAGAAAACAAGAAAGCATTCGAGTCTTAAATTTGCGCCGTCTGATACGAAATGGAAACATTACCCTTTTCAGGTGAGAATCTGCAGGAAACAAAATGGTTTAAAATAAAACATCAGTCACACTCTGTGTTACTACGCATATGAGCATATATAAATGAATATGTGCGCGTTACAAGTATTAAATTTATTATTATTACTACTGTTATTATTCAGCAGTGGTGAAAATAAGGCCTGTACGTGATTTGAACCCACGACCTTCGTGATACTGGTGCATGCAGCGTTAACTTGATTAAATGCAAAGATTGTAATTTGGAGAAACAAAGGGAATCTACGTATGAGTGATTTAATGACGAAATTTTAATTTATTGAAAATATCTCTGTACTTTGCGATAACTTTCCCGATAACTTCTTAATTTTGTTCGTCATAAATATCAAATTCATTATTATCAGTATCACTACCTTGATTAAATGCAAAGATTTACAAATGCAATACATCAACTGGAAACCGTGATTGCATGAGTGAATCCGGTTGCGAGATATTTTTCTCAGCTCGCATCAACTAAGTCAGCCGAAGTGGAGCGCGCACATGATGCAGCCTAGCCTGGAATAACCGAAAAATAAAAGCTTTGCTACGCTGTTGAAATAACAAATGCAATCCTTACTTGAAAAATGTTTCAGACAATACTGTCGGTAACCAATAAAATCCCTCTATATTGTACTTTACATCCAGCCGTATACCTTACAATATTTACATGCATCTGTTCAGAAGAATTACAAGCAGGTTGCTATGCTTGTTTTCCATTTGTTGTTCGTTTGTTTTATTTCGTTCGCTCTGTAGTTGTTTTGTTATCGATCGGGAAATCGAGACTTATGAAAAAATTAACAAGAGCAACTGCTTCTCTCAGGACCAGGCATGAAGAGATTCTTGAATCGTATATTGTTCAATACAAATAAGTTATCACGTACCGTTTTCCACCATTATCCAAGCTTTCTAACACCTACTCACGCACAAAGAATCTTCGGCTGATTCTGCGAATATTTACTTTGAAGTCCTCGGTCATTTCCTTGAAATTTGATTAACCAATAACTGAACAAGTGCCATAATGGTTTTCTTACCAAAAGACTCAACGTCGGAGATCAGAGCAAATCAAAAATCTTGATTTTAAAACGACCATGGCTTTCAGTTTCGTCTCGGAATTCATTTATTCATTTCTCATTATCAATCTGGTACAGCGATGCAATTGAGCCGTCAAGAAGGTCGGGTTGAAATTTTGAAAACCTAATGGCGAAGGAACTTCAGTCAGTTGTATGACCTGTGCGTCTCGCTTCGTTTGAAGTGTTCCTTTTATGCAAATGTTTAAAAACCATAAGGTCACGAAACAGTTTCATTTACTCACCCCACTAAGCAAGATGCAGTCAGCAGCACTAAACTACTTTCTCACATGTTAAGCAAATCAGACGAAACTTCGACGACTGAATTTCATCATTATTTGAACTCTCATCTGCGAGTGTCATACGCATCAAAAGAGGCTTATTATTCAACTAGCAGCAGTAGTATTTGGATGTTCCGCATAACTAAGTCTATATCCTAAAAAAAATAGCTGCTATATCGGTGGTTAGATGTTATGCAAATTTGACATTGCCTTTCTCGAAAAGGGTACGTTACTGAAGTAAGCCTGATCGCAAACGCCCATGCCTAGTATCGAAATAGAAATTTACGCATAATTTAGAATTAAAAGGTCGAAAATGATAGAGAAATTTAACAGAATCTGTCCCTACATGCATCGAGCTACTTTTGAGATGATTGCATTCAGAGTTTTGTGAAGAAAGGATGTTGAGAAATCTTGCTGCACCAACCTTCAAATTCCCCGCGTTTAATTTATTCGGACAACATTATACATGCTGTGGCGATTTGCTTTTTTCGCTTTTAATTTTCGGAGGGGTTTGCTTTTTTTCGATTTTGCTCTCTTTCTGGTTTTGTTTAACCAGAAAAGGGCAACGTAAATGATGGCTGACATTTGGTCAGTTTAAAAAAAAGTGTCGCATGGACCGTATTTGAAAAATTTGCTTCTCCACTTACCAAAATCTAACATCGCTAACGCCCTCGACTGTTATCGATGAATTAAACAGGAAGAATTTGCTTCAAATTGGAAAACATATTCTTCTTGATTCATTGGGTCCAGTACAAAAATATTATATTTGAAAAATTCCGACCGGCTCGTGGACACAGCTGTAAAACAGATCATATCCATGAATGGTAAGTTTTGTGTCATTATGACATACATTCCTGGCATACATACATATTTATCATACATACACACATATTTATTCAAACTCATTTACACAAATGACATACATAAATTCGAAAAGGGAGTTTTGAGGTTAACCCTTTCACAAAAAGGGCAAATTTTTAAATTATTTTTTTAATTTTAGTCGGCCCCATACGATTACATAACTCTATTCGACCCTGTTCAAATTTTAAAATTGATTCGTCTCCAATCTTAAGTAAATGACTGTTATTTGATCTCTAGGCTGTTTTTTTTAAGAGTAAATGTCAATAAAAATCACAGATTATCGAAAAAGTCGCGGACACGGTCAAAAATCGATTTGGTTCATTTTTTGCCTGTGGGTAGCCTTATCTAGTAAACAAACGGAAATGGGGTTAGATTTTTGAAGTATGCACTTTAACGGGAATAATCTGTTTTAACATTTCCGGGGGTAAATAGCTCAAATTTCACCAAGCGCGATCCTGAAAAAACGCGTCGGACACAAATAACTGTTTTGGTCAGTTATATCTTCACTGGCTGTTAAAATGACTAGAAACATATTAAAATGTCCATAACTACACTTGATTTTTATATACGGAGACAGGAGAAACAATTTTCGACTTTTGCTACCCTTTGAGAATCACGCCATAATTCTGCATAATTCTACACACAACAGGTTAAACAGTTGAATTGCACTCAAAAGGTTAAATTTGGCACAAAGCCGTCAGTTTCCGTTTACTTTTCATCTGGTGGACATGGATTCGAGCATTTGCATCCCTTCTGCACTCGCCAGTTTCGAATTTACTGAAAGCTGTCCAACACAAAGATAAGGAGGTTTCACAAGCAATCGTGAGCTCGAGTGACTAAAATCCGATATGTAGGACTCTGCTGTCACGCAGGTACACTCCTGGACTAATTGTGTGAGTCGTGCGATGAATGGCTTTTTCCTCTTCTGAGGTGAAATGTCAGAAATATCCAGCCCAAGGTCGATGCACATGTCTCTTAGACTATCCAGTCTTAAAGTTGTGAGTGGACGTTTTTGTACAAGTTCGTAGATGTTTAGATCGAAAGATACAATCGGATGTTGAATAGCCACATCTCTCATCACATTTGCACACACTGCAGATAGATAACTCTCAGCTTCGGCGGAAATTTCGTCCTTGTCGACGCTCTTCATGTCCACTTCTGAGATTTCACTAGCTTTTGCTCGGTTACCGGCGGCTGTAACTTCTAATCGCTTCTTTGCTGAAAGACGGCTGAAGAAGCCACTAATCTGCTGCGACGTAAGGACTTCATCAGGTTGAAATCGACGTCCCTCCGCTTGGTCTCTTGCTAGGCTCATGATTTTCGAAACTTCCTGTGGATCGCTTTTCCGTCCACTAAACTCCACTTTTTGAAATTGGTCAGTTAAGAATACGGTCTGTTTCCTTGTAAAACGCACCTTTTTCTTAATTGTCTTCAGGGCCCAACCCATTGGAAGAGGCGGCAAGCCGTCTCTCTTTCATTGTGCAGCAACTTGAACGCTTGGTATTCGACTACGTCCCTCCATCAGCTTGGAAGAATATTCTCTTTTAGTTTTATCGTAGAGAGTTTCCTGTTCGAGCATCATTTGGTGTTTTCCAGTATCTAGGTGTGTCTGGAGGTTTGCAAAGCGACTGTAGGCTTTTACACATCCTTCTTCTGGACACGGGAAAAGCATGTCATCTGGCTTATATTCCCCAATACAGCTTCGATCTTGGTTTTCGCTTTCAGTTAAGAAATTTGCTTTGACAGAGCTTTCCTTAATATGTCGGTGTCTCACAATCTTGAACGTCGGTGCGCCACTTGGACTCTGCGATGGCGAGTCTAGGATTTCCAATTTTTCGGGCTACTTCATGAGGGTCTGAATGGGGGTACTTCGATAACACTAAACACTTTTTTGACTGTATGACATTAAACAGTTAATTTTCAGCCATTTTAACACTAACATTAAAAAATTCGTTGTAACATTTTTTCCCATAAACAAACAAACCACACCCTAAAAGGGGAAATATCTATATTGGGCCTATGTTTATTGTCTCAAAGAGGTTTTTTTGGCCATTTTCCAACAATTCGGAATTATTTCAAGACTTCCGAAGAGTGAGGAAGATATCCGAAAGCTGCCGAAGATTTCCGAAAGCTGTCGAAGATGTCTGAAGGCTGCCGAAGATGTCCGAACACTGCTGAAGATGTCCAAAGACTGCCGAAGATGTCCACTGAGACTGCCAAAGATGTCCACAGACTTATGACCGACGAAGACTACCGCAGATTTGGCTTGTATAACTCATGACAATCTATTCTTAAAGCGCTTTTACAGCGAGGATTCACCAACCGTGACCACTTAGAGAGAATATACTAGTAACAAATCAGATTACGATATTCAAATCAAACAGCCAATGGGATAGAACATCGAAATAAACAGTAAAATTAAGCAAATTTACGGACTGCCATCCGTTGTATGAATACCTCAGTATGATTGGTTGGCTTTGTGAGATGGTCCCAGTTGGTGTATCTGCACTGTAAACAAAAAGAGATAAATACGAAAATTACAAGGAAAATGAGAGTTAACATATATGAGTGTTTAAATTTGACTAGTAATGAATGCAATAACAGAATATTCTTTTACCAATAAGATCGGCTACAGTACTCACAATGTATAATGGTCAACAAAAATGATAGACATGTCACTCCATCCTGGCCAAAAACATTTGATTATATTCCATACCTGAATAGTCGCGATTGTCCCAACTGTTTCTAGAGACCAAGGCGGAAATGAGCGCGGGTGGTGCGACCAAATCTGCTGAACGTTATGTCCGTATCATTATCCGCATCGCTCTCCGAGTCGGTGTCGAATTCATCCTCTTTCTCGGGGAGGTCTGTCACGTCACCAACTGCGACAACTCCGAGCATGCTTTCGTCAACAAAGGTGATTCTCGGCACTTCGTTTGTAGCTCGTGGAATATTTGTATCCTGGTCGACTCGTTCTTCATTGTCTGTCCCTGGATCATCTTAAACATCCTCTTGGAATGTTACTCTAGTACACGATGGCGTACTGGAATATACAGCTGGCGGCAGGGCTCCCGCTTTGTCTTTTGTTGATTCGCTTCTTACCGTACTTGACAGGTCGATACCTGTCAACCAATTCCTTCATGGCTGCCTCAATGTTGGGGTCAACGTTATCAGCTGGAGGAGGTTTCATCAAATCTACGTCCCGTAACTCTACACTGGATTTAGGCACTGGATAATAAGACTTCTCAAGTGTGAAGTACTTCGCACCCCACTTCGTTGTTCTCTTTAAAGATTCCTTTGAAATTGTTCCAAAGTCTTGAGTATACTGAAGAGCGGTGAAAGTCTCGTTTTTGAAGTGGGAGACTGCATGAAGGTTCTCCACCTGAGTTGTTAGCAGCGTACGCAGGTCAATGTCACCAAGATAGTCCTCGTTTACATTCTTAACGTTATCTCGTAGCTGTTCCATACCTCTTTCGAGAAGCACCAATGACTCCTGTGTTTTGCTGGAAACAGTTCCTTCAGGGCCATTTATTGTTGCCGTTTCTTTCATTTTATAGTGCTGTTTTACTTCAGCGACTGTGTTTTTAATATAAGCATTTACAGATGAAACATTGCACACAGCATCTTGAAGAGATAATTGGACCGCGTCGATTGTATGTGCACCAATTCCAAAACTATCATAGAGACATTCGAGGTTGCGAAGAAAGGACACTTTGCCAGTAAGCCCCGAAGCTAGTTTGATTGTTTCAGCAGCTATATCGGAAACAAAAAAAATTTTCTACAAGGAGCAGATTGCATGAAATTGTGTAAATGAGCAGCTTTCTTCAGTTCCATCAACGGTTCCTTCATGGCCAGTACCCAACAAGGTCTCGACTGTTGCACTTAAGGGATTAAAGGTCTTAACCTTTGGATCTTTGTTATCGGCGAAAACAATGTTGCCCTCATGACCATACAGCCTCCTGATTTCCTTACAAGAATCTGAAGAATTCCGCAAGAATCGCTCGACATTGACAGAATCGAGGTTACAACCATATAACCCTCCAGCTGCGCTAGTTGCA